TCAAAGACAAATTTTTATGACAGGAAATATGAGACCCCTACTGTCAAGGCTCCCAAGTCAATGCTGGTTTCCCATTCTGAAGAATCGCCAGACTTTTTGAAAGCTGTTTTTAAGCTGGCAACCCTGTTTTTCTAAATATGTCTACCTGGGAGAGATAAAAGAGCCAACAAGATCTAAAAGAGACCAGGCTGAAGACCCATTAGTGTTATCACCAGCTCAGAAGAGCTTGCAGGTGTAATGGCCAGGCATGCCCTCTCTTTTTAAAGAGGGAAAAAAAAAAAAAAGAAAAAAGATACTGTTCTAAGGCTTTTAGGCAGAGTTCCTTTAAAATGAAAAAGGATAAATACCTCAGACCACAAGGTGTTAGTTACAAGCTTAATTTCATCCCCTTGCCAGTCTGCTTTGTCCCATACCACAGCACGACCAACAGGTTTGGAGATCACCTCTCAACCACCCTCCAAGCCTGGCTTCAACCAGCCTAGCCAGGCCTCACAACTCACCAGCGTACACTCAAGTGTGAAGAGTAAGGTCTTGCCAATAGTTGGTCATCTTATCCTCCTCTGAGAGCTAGTAAACTTTATTATTCTGTTAGTAAATTGTTACAAAGCAAAGCATTTAAAAAGATATGTTTTCATTTTACTAGCATTGTGGCAAGAGATCATACAAGTGCTGCACTGATTTCTATTCGGCTTGTATTACTTAGGAACTAGACACACATCCACTCAAATCTGTTTTTAATAGTGAAAGGAGTACTAATAAGTTCAGTACCCAATAATCACATAAGGACATAAGTCATCCTGTATTTATGCAGAAAAGTTAAGAGCACAATATTAAGAAACATTTACCTCACCCATGATAGTCCCATGCCAGGGACATTGTAGTACAAATGTACCCATTAATTTGTCTCCATGGAGTTTTCAGCTAATGGAAAAGTTATTTCACAATTAAAGCTTTTAGTGATGCAGGAGGCTTGCAGTGTATATTCACGTAAATGCTACAGATTACACACTTACTCGAAGTAACATAGAAGAGCTCTGAGAAGTGAAACTGGGTGAATATTCAGTTTTACAGCAAAAAACCAGACTGATATCCTTCTGAAGTTGATGCAAAGCACGCTAATCAAGACAAGTTACTTCATAAAAATGCTCAGGAGAAGGAATATATAAAATATGCATCAAGGCACACCTTTTTTTAAAGGTTCATGACATTATTGTTATGAATTTTCTTCTTACTCAGTTCTGATTATTTCTTGCATCTTTTTCACTTTTATACCTTCACTAATGTGATTTAAGAAGTTCCACTTTTTACTACTTCATCCCATTTGTTTTAAGTTACATCCCATGAAAATGACATAGAAGGCAAGTGTCTGCAGGAGTGCAAACAGCAAGAAAATTTTTAAAGCTTGAAGTGGACTTACTCTACAAAGGCCAAATTTGAAAAAAGTTAAGATTTAACCAACTGAAGTCTAGGGTAAAGAAATGCAGTTCTCGTTTAAGTCTTCTAACAAGTTAATCAGTAGGTTTTATCATTAAGCAAGAAATAGAGTCCTATATATTCAACTAACATTAATGCAACTGATGTTTTATTTTTTAAGTAACTGACAGTCAGAACACTTGCACCCACAAGTTACAATTAGTCCATTTTGTCCTTCCAGGTTCAAAGCTGCACTAGGCAATGTTTCTGAAGTTTAATACGGTGCAGCCAGAAAGTAGTCTGGTCACTGCTGAAATAAGGCTGTGAGCCTAGAATTAAGATGCTTCTCTATCTATTCCACCTCACTTCCAAGAGCAAATTAAAGACTAGTTCAAATTATTTGCTCACTTACATGGTATATTTGTTCACACTTTGTATCAAAATGAAATTTGATGCTATGGTTTGAAACAGATGAGCTGGTATGAGTACCACCAACAGTGTATCACACATACATTTGTTACCCACAGGCATACTACAGCTACTTTTTAAAATTTTATTTATATGCTTAATGATTACATGTTATGAGACACCAAAAGGGTTATGGGAACATAAGATAGTACCAGAAAGCTTGAGTTACCTCAGGTAGCTTGTTGCTATTCAGAGACTATCAACACAACACTGCTGTCTTCAACTACCTTGAAAGGAACACACAGAGAAGCCAGATTCTTCCCAGAGGTCCATGGTGGTAGGACAAGGGGCAAGAAACTAAAGTTTCAAGAAGGGTATTTCCAATTAGATATTAGGAAAGAAGTTTAACAATGAGGGTAATCAAATGTTGTAACAAGTTACCCAAAGAGACCACAAGTGTTTACCCTTAGAGATATTCAAAACTCAACTGCACAAGTCCTGACCAAGCTGATGTAAGTTGGTCCTGCAGCAGGTTGGGCCAGATGACTTCTTCCCTTCCAACTCAAAATTACTTTGATTCTGCAACATTTGCCCAATGCCTGTTTCATAGATCAGCTGACGGTAGAAGGAATGGATGATGCAGCCCCTGATTTTACCTGAAGTAGCATGCAGGACCTTGCTCAAAAATCTTACTGCTGAAGAGCCTCTCTAGGAGGAACAATAGCATACTAAGACTCACCATCTCTGTAGGAGCAACAAGAGCCAAGAACTCCATCACAGCTGTGCTTGGCTTCAGAATAAGATACTAAAATAAAAGCGAGGATACTAAGGAGATGCAAAGCTGGCAGTAAGAAGGATCAGATCCTTACAGGTAGCATACAGAGAAAGTAAAGATACCATATAGACATACCAGGTAGTAAGAAACACTTGAAAGAGCTAAAGAAAATGGGCAGAACTAGAAGTGTCTACTAGAAACAAGAAGGCAGCCTTCACAAAGTTGAGGCAGTACCCAAATGAACACGGCCATGTAGGATTGTTAATTTGTCAAAATAACACAAAACAAAGACACCCACACCACCCCCACCCCCACGATTTACAAGAGGAATAATTAAAAAAAAAATTCCCTTCTTTCTTCAAAGTGCATGGAGAAGAAGAATGCATAGGACCAAGAGATGATGAGAGTACAAAACGATGATCATCTGCAAAACACACACACAGAACAGTGATTTCTTTGCAACTGCTCTATTTCTCCTTCTAATCCTTGAAGAAAAGTGAAGCCTTAGTCTTGGGGACTCTCAGGGTCTGTCTCAAGTCACAGAACAGAAGTGAATGGAACCAGAACCAAGGTACAGGACATGTTTTGATATGGTTTGAATACCTGACACAGTAACAGTGATATACAACTGCTCACTTGAAACAAAACTGAATGTACGCTATTTTGGTACCAAAGAGCAGATAAGTGGCAAGCATGATGCAACTTTTAAGGGACCTTCAGGAAAGATCTCAACAATAAACCTGTAAGCCTTATGTCTCTATCAAGCAAGTTAAGAGAAAAGGGTAGCACTGAATGAGTATTACATAAACAGGGAAGAATCAAAGCAACTTTTTCAGAGGGACATCCTGATTCACAGACCTAGCAGAATTCTCTAAAGGAAGCAGCAAGCACAGGCACAGGAGTCATGTAGCTGATGTAGTTGGTGTGAATGCCCAGAAGTCTTGCAACAAAAAATAATAAAAGCTTTCAAGGAAGTTAACTGGTCACATGCGAGATAAAAGGTCCTTTCATGGACAGTAACTGGTAAAGAGATAGTAAGCAGACAGTAGGAAGAACAGTCAGTTCTTACTCAGTGGAAGATGCTGACCAGTGCTGTTTCACAGGTACCTGTGCCCTTTGTTATATCCATTCATAAATGACCTGAAAGTTAACTCATAAAATTAAGTCGGTTGTCATCATTACAACCACAAACATTTGTGGAAGGACTTTACAAGATTGTATGACTAGACAATAAATTTGCAGACTAAACTCAGTAGAGGTAGGCAATACATATATGAAAACAATAATATGAACTGACAAGCTCTGAGCTCATTACTGATGAAGGCGTAAGATATTGGGGTAACAGTATATAGTTTCCTGATCTGGAAAAAAGGAAGTGAACACAAAATACTACATCACTGTAAAAATCTATAGTGCATTCACAACTTGACTCCTGTGTGAGGCTTTGCTCTGCCTCCCATTCTCTCCCCCTCCTCCTCACCAACTTGGGAGGAAGAAAAGGTCCAGAAATCTGTCCCCTTTGAATTCAGTTCATTATTAGGGATGTGTTGCAGCTAAGCAGACTGTAGGATTTACAGCCTGAAACAGTAAACATTGTAAACTCTTGGGTGCAGCACACATACAAGTAGGGACAGTTAATGGTACAACACTAGAATAATACTGGGGGACCCTGTAGGGTAGAAGATGCCAAGTCCAATGTAAACCCGTTCATACTTTAGTCCAGAAATGGTCCCAGATTCACCTATACCCTGAACTATGCCCATGCCAGTGAGCATGCTAATAGTTAAGCAGGCACAGACCATCAGGTTCAATAATACAGCTTGCTCCCCATCCCAATTTTACTTAGTAGCACAGATTCTAGCCCTGTATATCAACCCTGGTTTTAATATTCTGACACTCTGTTGGATAGCTGCTTTTGGTGACAGTGCTCCCCCACAGTCAGAATAGAAGTCACCCCTGGACATAGCCATACTCCCTGCCTTCCCGACGTACCTGGAGAGGAAGAAACATGTTTTAGTCCCAGCACTAGAATGTGTGGTGTTCACTAAGACATAACCTCTCCCCCAAAAATCTCCTGCCCCCTCATTCTCCCACATTCATCTCTCTAACACATACAGTCTTTGTTACACATGGAGGTCAGCAATTCTCTCTTGGCTTAGCCAGCTACCAGCCTCTTCCAACATAACCCAAAAGAAACTTGCAAGGACTCTTGAGTAGGGAAATCCTGCAAAGAGGCATTATCTCCCATGTCAAGATACTAGGCTAGAAAGGACTTTAATTTTAACAAGCACAACCATCCTTATGTGGTCAGGATGCTGAAGTCTCTAGTGACCATCAACTGCACAGAACAGCTCTTGATCATCTTTCTAAACTGTTTGCTAGGAGTTGTCAAATCTTTGCTTACCTGAATGAAAGTAGCACCCTCTACTGCTGCCCTCAGGTCTGTACAGATGCTAATGAGAGCCAGCTGCTGCTCCACACTCAAAGCTCCTTTCAGGAATCCCGACTCCTCCAGCTCTTTCATTTGTTTGCTGACAGAAACAACATACACATTTAAGTACTTTATCATTAAGCCACCATTAATTTTTTAAAAAGCTTCTTAACAACCCAGTAGTATTATGCTATTTGCCATGCCACTGCATATATTTATACTTAAAAAATATAAAGGTTAGTTTCAGTCATTTCTCTTTGCTCCCTCTAACCTACAACATTCTCTTCAAGCCTGGAGAGCTCCAAGATCTACTTCTAGATGCAAGCTTATCACCACCTCAAACCTGTTTTCACTGGTGCAGGATCAGCAGGAGTTTTTATACTCATATTTAATGAGAGGAGAGGTCCCTTTAATATACTTCATCCAGTTTTACAAACAACAGCTCTTTTGTTATGAAGACTCACTGGAGGAACACTGTTTAACTGTATAGAATAAATACATTCCATACAGCCAGGAGTCCCTCCTAAAAAATTCATACCCTACATAGGTGATGACTACAGAGCAAGTATCAGAAAATTCAAGTAGTTACTAAACTGAGTGGCCAGAGCTTGAAATGAATGTTCAAGTACACACCATTGCGGGGGCTGGACATGCCACCTTCTCAGAAAAAGTCTCTACAGTTTGAAACCCGTGTAAGTCCAGAGCAAGCAAGCCATTTTCAAACTGTTAACAGTCACTTAGAGGAGCAATTTCCACAGACATTAAGTGGGATTAAACTATCTGGTCACGATCAACCTAAAGCTATTTGATGTAGGCTTTATCACAGCTAAATCTGTCAGTTACCTCAAGCCAGAACTCCTTTGAGCCTTTGGTTACTATTCAGGAAAAATTGCTCAGCCTGAAGAGAGGAGGAAATTGAACTAAAGATTAACAGCAGGAAAAAAAAAAAAATCCTTTCTTCTCCCTACCAATCTAGTTCTGAAGCTTTGGCTTCTTTTTGGATGCCTTTTTACATGATAAATAAATTGCACTTGCAACCCAGTTGGAGGGTAGAAAAGCTGTAGCAAACAGAGAAGCTGTACAGCTTGGAAAAAGTGTATTTTTCTACTTCGCAAATCATATAACTGTATATAGAAATAACCAGTGATCCATCATGTGTTTCCCAAGTGACTGTGGCACTGGGGCACACATGACAGTCTTCATTAGGGGCTTTACAGGACAGCACATGTTAAATGGGCAGAACTTATTTATACAGGCCCAGATGATCTCCACTCCCAGCCACACCTCAGTCCTTAATACACCTGCCCAGGCCCCTCCAAGTATCCAGACAGTAACACTGGGTTTATTTTTCTATCTAGAGGCCTCAGGGATGGGACCCCATATGTTTGTCACAATCTACAGCAGCCAGAGACAGACGCTATCCTTAGTCCTTACGAATCACGGCAGGCAGCCAGCCACCAGACTGGGATGTCAGCCCCAGACCACTTCTCCAATCCAGCACTTGGACCCTGCAGTAGCCTTCCCTTAGCCCCTGCCAGTGACACCGCTGCAGCCACCTTTACATCAGCAATCCTAAACAAACCAGACACAGAGCAACCAGACCTCAGCTCTCAGTTACTTTATGAAGTGGCAGGAGGTGTCATTTGTATTTTTCAAGCAGCATTTTAAATTAATTGAAAAGGGAGAGGGATGTAGATCATTACCTTTATCTTTTTTCTCTCTCTACTTTTTCCAGGCCATCTGCTGAGCAACGTGTGATAATGCACTCTCACTTTGTCAAACCATCCTTTTCTTTAGAGCTCATTCCTGTCAACAAGTATTGAGTCCATAGATCAAATAAAAATATTAAGATTCCTCCTCCAGATTTCCTGAACAAAATGAGTGGGATTCATCTCACCTACCCTGTCAACATGCAGATCTGAGACAATCATCCTCAGCTCTCTTTTAAAGAAGGGAGAACTAAGTGTTTCAGGTGCACTTGATCCCTTTTAGGCATCCAAGTATGCAATCCATCTTGTCTTATGATGGAAGTACCTATTTATCCCCAAAGAAAATAGCTCAGAATGAGACATTTAGACCACAGTATTCTGAAGTCACTGAAGACGAAAGTTGGCAGGGATTTATTTAAAGACAATCCCGCTCCTACTTAACTATACAGAAGCAAGACAAACCTCAAACCTCATCAGAGATTCACTGGGCCCTCAGATCTTTAGCTTGAACTGGCTCACTAAATCTACCATTAACTTCCAAAGAATCAGAATTTTACTTCAGCATTCATGTAGTTGTGCTGTGTCCAAGAAAATACAGCAATTATAGGCTCTACCATTTTTATTGTGGCTTTATTAAGAGGTCATAAACATATGCTGCTCTGCAAGTTACTCTGATGTCCTTTCTTCCACTCAAAGTAGAAAAGAGAACATTTGTTTCCCAGCAAACAAAACAGCTTGCTCCTGGTTTAGTACAACAGAAGAAACATACCTTCAGATCACCATGGACTTTGCACGTTAAATGGATGAATTTCCAATAACTAGTGAGTAGGTAAGATGTCAACAGAGGCTCTATTTGAAGCTGATAAAGGTGACAGTGCACCTTCTAAACCAGAATATGCACCCTTATTTCAAATTGGGAAGAACAAAACCAACAACAAAAAATCTACATGCATGTGCACACACAGCGCTAACTCCTACAAGCATTAACTTTCAATGAACTGTTTCAGCAATTAACTCCAGATGATCATGTGTGTACTGCAAGTTCTAGCACTTCCTCTTTATTTGTGTCAGAGCTGATCATGGACAATGATTTTTGACTCTTAGAGCATGCCTGGGTAAACAGCTAAGCATTGCATTCTGTTTACATTAGACAAGAGCTTTGAAAAGGTTCAATTCATTCTCAGCTGGAAAATGAAGCCAAGAGTCATAGACTTTTTAGACACTGCTCAGGTCTGTCCTGTTTACTTCCCTGGAATCCCTTAGACTTGGTGCCAAAATTAGTATTCCTACCGGTTTATGCAGTCCAAAACTGATGAAAAGAGTTCCATTAATGGCTTTCTGCCTCTTTTCTCAAAAACGGATTTAGGCTCAAAAACCCAGACCCTTCCTATCCAAAGCTAAACTAGTCAGAAATTATTTTCTGCTAAGTTTTGTTTACAAAAGGGGGGGTAGGGGGGGAGGGAAGTGCTCAGACACACACCCCTCCAGGCAGCATCACAGAAATAAGTAGGAAATCCATCAAGTTTCTGGATCGATTCCCCATTTGGTTTCTTAACATCACAGAAAATGGATGGCTGGAAAGCACAGACTTCTGCCTTTGAGCAATCTGCGTAGTAAAGAATAGGAAACAGGAAGCTTTAGCTCCGTTTTCCAACCTGCCAGGGTACACCAAAGCTTGCTAGGCAGGAGTTCCATCCAAGACTTAAGGCTTCCAGCACACTAAAGGTGCAAGTGCTTCACCTGTAAAGAAAAAGGTGCACCTAAACTAGAGTGTCCAAACTTCTGACTCCTTCACACCTTGTGAGGCGAGATGGTAAGGAACCAATCATAGAATCATTTAGGTTGGAAAAGACCATTAAGATCATTGATCCCAACTGTAAACCTAACACTGCCAAGTCCACCATTAAATCATGTCCCTAAATGCCACATCTACACGACTTTTACCTCCAGGGATGGTGACTCATCCACTTCCCTGGGCAGCCTGTTCCAATGCTTGGTAAGCCTTTTGGTGAAGAAATTTTTCCTAATATCCAATCTAAACCTCCCTTGGTGCAACTTGAAGCCATTTACTCTAATTCAAAAGGTCTTAACTAGCCATTCATCAGAAGTTCATTTCCCAGGTGCGCTTGCCTAAATCCAGCACCCTCTTCTTGCTCATAGGCTGTGCATTGCTCTTAAAAAAAAAAGAAAAGCGGAACTTAAATTTGAAGGGATCACAACAGAATTATTTCTTTCTTTGAAGAAAAGGGTGAAGTTTTTGTTCACTTTCTGTGCAATATGACACTTGTCTCATCCTCCCTGGTCCTCTGAAACTCAACTCCATGACTGATAACTGAGGGACTCAAAAAGGCTAGAATGAGACTAAAAGATCCGACTTTTCTTTTTCTTCCACAAGTTTTCACATAAGTTTGCAGCACCCATTTCCTGTTCCATACCTTTCCTTCTCTGCCAGTGATGACCATCCCATCATTTCTGCTCCTCTGTCATAAGCCATTATCCACTACACTGTGCATTGAACACCATTTCATAATTAACCAGCAAAAAAGCATTGTCATACTTTCAAACTTAAGGCTGGACTGATTCTTCCTCCTAAACAAAAATCTTCCTGTTAACATCACCAATCTTCATGCTAGCCATTTATTTAAATTAGTATAGTTATTTAAAGCATGGAATAGGAAATAGAACTTGTGCATTACTTGAATTTTGGCCTTCCCTCCCAGGAAAATTTTTTTTCCCCCCCCCCCCCCTTCACCAATATATTTGTTGACATTCTGGCTGTTTTGTTCCACAATTTAGTTTTAACTCTTCCAAATGCTAAACCCTCTTTATATTCCCCTGGGGTAATATTGTCCACACTTTTGTGGGAAAGGAAGGGAGCTTTCCCTGGTATTTATCATACATTAAGGCACAAACAGATCGTTTTGTACATACAGCAGTACACCACTGACCTCTACTGGATGACTCTTTATTCAAAGCAGCCTAGACTTCAGGGTAATCATCGCTAAGGATGACCACAGACTGAGGTTACTGCAGCCATGTCAATAGAACACACCACAGGACTTCGCTTTGCAATTGTATGGTGTGCACAGTTTGAAGAGTTTGACATGAAGAATTCACATCCCTAAGAAAATACTACCTCCTTTTAGAGCCCACACTTTGCCTACCTCCAGAGTTTTACTGTTGTACCTGACTGCCCATGTCAACACAATTGTGGGAAGTGAGCCAGTATTTGCTTCAAGATAAGGCAGCTAATCTATAACAACAGCCCTGATCACATAAACTGCCCCGGATGCTCATGGTCACAAACCCTGTTCTAAAAGTTTTTACAGAAGGACCTTGCAAGCAATACTAATACTTAACCCATCTTCTTCATACCCCATTGCCTCACCTT